TTGTGTATAGTATTACCCACATACTCAGTCTAATGTATAGTATCACCCACATACTCAGTCTAATGTATAATATCACCCACATACTCAGTCTAATGTATAGTATCACCCACATACTCAGTCTAATGTATAGTATCACCCACATAGTCAGTCTAATGTATAGTATCACCCACATACTCAGTCCAATGTATATATGCTCTCTGTTCTATGCTCTCCCACAGGAACTGGCATCGTATCTTATTGACAATGTGCCACACATGACCGTGTCCACGGACATCATCTGCGGCTTCCCCACCGAAACGGCCGAGGAGTTCGAGGAGACACTCGACCTTATAAAGAAGTATAAGTTCCCGGTACGTTCATGTTATCTTCTCTTATCAGATGGGGGTTAAGCTCATTTGCGCAGGGGTTAGGCGTGAAGGGGCCGGATGAGCTGGTTACCAATGCACACGCCACTTAACGGATTGGCTGACGGTAACCGGGTGGGCCTTAGATGTTGGACTGCTCGCAATGCCTTACAAGTCACTGGTGTGCACATACCCATACGTTCACACCCACATGTTAATAATTATACACACGACACTACACGGTTGATGGGTGTTTATGAATGCCTTGAGACAGGTGTTATGCATCTCTATATGTGGCATATGTTATTGTATCGCGCACACACCGCTACAGCTCCAACTGATGGCTACATAAAACATTTCACCCTAAAACCCTAAAACACTTCACAGGTGCTGAACATCTCCAAATTCTACCCCCGCCCTGGAACCCCTGCCGCCAACATGAAGAAGGTCAACACGCTAGAGGTACGTCTCCGCTATTACTATTCCCCTCTTTATTCATCTTCATCCGCTTAGCAGTACCTTTATACCATACACGGTGTTCCAAATCAACACGTTGAACGTCTTATTCACTTAAAAGAGTGCATACCTTGATACCATACATCGGTGTTCCAAATCAACACGTTGAACGTCTTATTCGCTTAAAAGAGCGCATACCTTGATACCCTACACGGTGTTCCAAGTCAACACCTTGAACGTCTTATTCGCTCGAGAGTGCAAACAAGGCCCCACCGTCAGCTGTGAACACCTTAGTACTTTGTCAATGTATCCAGAACTAAACCCTTGCACGCCTATCTATTATCAGTGCAAGCAAAGCACCTCCATCAGCGTCGCAACAGTTTGATAGTGTACTAGTGCACTAAACCCTAAACCCTAAAGCCCTAAAGCCCTAATGGCCTATCCCTAACTGAAGACTTGGACCCCTATCTCCATCCTAATCAGTGCAAACAGAGGAGTCGAGCGGCCACCATTCTATTCAACTCATACCAAATATACACTCCTGAACGTATTGGTCTCGAGTACATGGTGTTGGTGACCGATGTGTCCAGTGATGGCAACTACTGGGTAGCGCATAACCAGAGCTTTGAACAGGTGCGAGTGACAGTGCAGTGTTAATGATTTAAATGTGGGTTTCCAATGGTGTGGCTACTGATAGTGTATAGGCAGAGCTTTGAACAGGTGAGAGTGACAGTGCAGTGTTAATGATTTAAATGTGGGTTTCCTATGGTGTGGCTACTGATAGTGTATAGGCAGAGCTTTGAACATGTGCGTGTGGCGGTTTAAAACCAAGAGAATATCTCTTTAAGTAATGTTCACTGACATGCACAACCAGAGCCCCAAACAGGAGTTTCACAGTATAAAAATATTACATCATTCCCAAATAGAGTGCTTTAAGGGGTTGTATTGTTGACGTCGGCCATAGCACACTTAAATAATGTTACCGCTTTGTTCCATGGATTGGATACTTGCTCGCAGATTCTGATACCAAAATTGGATCAGTATCTGGGCAAATACATCCGGGTACAGATCACCGAGATTGGCAAATTCTATATGAAGGCCGATGTGCTAGAAGAATCCGTCGAAAAGGTATGGGACAAGGCGATACGGGGTTGTGTGCGTGTTCTAGGTTTTGAGTTTTAAGGGGTTTGGGCTTCGGTGGATGCATTATTGTGATCATACAGGGATTGTGCGGAATGTACTCACAGAGTAAACCGTATTGCGAACGACCTACAGTGTAATGAACCACCACGAGGGACGGTTCTGTTTCTATTGTTTCGAGTTTTCGGGTCGAATTTGGGGTGAAAAGCCAACATGCAGAAAAGGGACTGTATATTTGTGTGCAAGAATGGCTTCAGATAGCATTGTACGCGTTTGCTTGGAACCCGTTCGGAGACGTTCAGCTGTAGCTTAGGCATTTACGTACGTCTTCACCTCTCTTCTACTGCGAGCCCCATCTCCACACTTAGAGCCGAACATCTCTTTCCTTTAAACATGAAATATCTCGAAAGGACATGCATGTCTTTTCGTATGCAAATCCATGTCTTTCCTTCAACCTCGAATAAGTTTCATAGTAATGGGATACAATATTCTTAAAAAACAGCCATTTCTCTTCTTATATTCATACGCAGGCTCCGTACGTACCACCGCCTCTGCCTTTTGGACAAGTGAGTGGAGGCCAAAAAACCCCAAAAACCCAAAAACCCCAACTAGGACAGGTCGTACAGGAGATCAAATCCAAACAGAAGTCTTTATATGTCGCTGTAGCCGCGGTTGCAGTGTATGTGCTGATCAAGTTTGTCCGCAGGTATCTCACATCGGGCTCGTCTGCGTTGACGTAGGTTAACGATAATAAAATAGAAGTTTCAAAAATAAGCCCCTCCACCCCTCTCCTTTTTATACAAGTGGATATATTTTTGTGTAGGGTTTAAGTATGGGTTAGAGGTTAAGTAGGGTTTAAGTATGGGTTAGAGGTTAAGTAGGGTTTAGGTAGGGTTTAGAGGTTACATGGAGTTTAAGTAGGTTTTCGCGGTTATATAGGGTTTACGTAGGGTTTAGAATATGTGGGGTGTAAGTAGGGGTTAGAGGTTATGTAGGGTTTAAGTAGAGTTTATAGGTTATGTGTGCTTCAAGGAGGGGTTAGAGGTTATGTAGGGTTTAAAAAGGGTGTAGCAGTTATGTAGGGTCAAGTAGGAGCTTATGTAGGGTGTAGAGCTTGTGTAGTTTCAAGTAGTAAGGTTTAGGTAAGGTTTAGAGCTTGCGCAGTTTTTAAGTAGGATTTAATGGTTATGTACGGTTTAAGTAGGGTTTCGAGGTCATGTAGCGTTCAAATAGGGTTTGAAAGTTATGTATGGTTTTAGTTTGATTTGGGGGGTTAAGCAGGGTGTAGGGCAGGACAGGCAAGTGAGGGAGAAAACAAATACTAGCAGCACTTGGATTTAAGGCACCCATTCAACCCGACATACTGGACATACTGCTGATACGACCACAGGGGGCCTCACTGTACGAGGGTATATCTGATATGTTATTCGTCAGTTTTGACCAGTACGAGGAGTGCTAATTTATTTAATATTAATTGACTCCGTTAAAAAGCAGCAAACCGGATGTCTGCTCCTTCGACATAAAAGCAGCTCCAATATACCAGGGCACTTCTATCATGTCCGGACCTATGTGCTAAGCCCAGGTGCACTACCCATACGACACAACTAAGGCTACATACAATACCATCCGGTGCATCTAATCAGCAAGTTTATTTAGAAATAAAAGTTAATACTAGTATTCATACAAGCCGACAAACCGCGCGTACTGCTCATACGACATGAAGAACGCTATATTCCATGGCGCCAGCCGTGCGTAGTTTGGTATAAAGCCTTTGTACAACGCCATCCAGCCCTCAGCCGCGACAGTTTTGCGGAAGCAGTCCATCACTCCAGTGTACACTCCAGTCGCCGATGCGCTTTGGCTCATGAGACGTGTCTGTGTGAGTATAGGCATGGGGAGTCGGGATTGAGATGCAAGATAATGCGCATGGATGGAACTGCGAGTGTAGATGAGATGGTTGGGGTTGTGCCAGTATGGAGACTCCAGCGAGTGTGGTGTAGTAGTAGCGTATTACTCCAGTATACACTCCACTAGCCAACCCTACATACCCTAAACCCTAAAACCCACTATAGCTCGCAAGACGTGTCAGTATCTGCATATGCCTCGGCGGGTGGGGGATGTATAACGCGTATGAAAGGATAAAAAATAACACACCAACTGTACACATAGACGCGCATACGCACCATGAAACTAATATGCAGCTGGCATGTGGCGACAATCCCAAACTAATACATGTACTCAAATACCTGTATGTGTACACATACCTGATATGTCTTATCTATCCTTTACTATTCGCATAGCCGCCTACAGGATACACACACGCCTGTCTAGGTCATATACATATACAACCACCAAAGCAAAATGCATCTAGCTGATAAAGCCTTCTCTTCAAACAGACACAGAACAAGCGGCACAAAGGCAGTACACACAGGATCCGATGGGACAGTATAACCCACAACATCGCCACAACACACAATTTCCGTGTTTAGAAGCACATACGTACCAGACCCAACATATGTATATACACCATGAACACCCCCTTGACAACAACTGTACGTACACGCAATGCTCGCTTATAGGCCCAACATGTGTATATACACTAAGCATTCCTATCTTAGCAACAACCGTACTATATGTATATACGCCGTTCACTCACACCTTAGCACCAACCAAAACATATGTATATACACCATGCACACCTACCTTAACAACAACCATAATATATGTGTATACGCCATTCACACACACCTTAACACCAACCGAAACATATGTATATACACCATGCACACCTACCTTAACAACAACCGTAATATATGTGTATACGCCATTCACACACACCTTAACACCAACCGAAACATATGTATATACACCATACACACCTACCTTAACAACATCTATCGGGTTTGAGGCGATGGCACCCACCAATCCCGCAATATTACTACACCTGTAAGTGCATGCACACCAGACAATCAGCAGGGCTGGAAGTTAGTCACTTTAAAACCACACAACCCATCAGGGATGGCCAATCGGTTGCCAAGCTATCGTATTCATTCTGTATGTATGTATATACAGTATCCAAGCTATCGTATTCATTCTGTATGTATGTATGTACAGTTTCCGTATGGTATGGGGCGTTTGCTGCATATGTTAACCATTGCCATGAGCTCCTTCATCAAATGTAGAATAGCTGTTCGGAACATCTGTGAACATATGCAATAACTGATACGCGGGATTTGATTTTGAAGCAGCTAATAAGTAAGGTCAGACAAGTTCAAATTCAGGCAGTTCGGTTTGGAAATCGTTCATGCATGCGCAATTATGTTTGTCTAAAAGTGACGGTACCGAAGTTTCGGGATTTTTAGGATTCTTAGACTTAATCATAAGCGTCCCTCGACAAGCATGGCCCAAAAATAAAAATAAAAAAGGGAATGGGACAGACCATGTGGCCCAAAATACTCACATGAAGTGCAGTCCGTAGGAGTCCTCGAAGTATTTGTGGTGCAGAAAGTATCGCTTCGACACATCGTATGCCGGGAGCTCCACCCCAGCCACCACACACGCACGCTGAACTGTGGGCGACACACCCTGTGAGTGTAGGTATATAGAAACATGTTGTTAACAAACAGCACACTCTTGAGTGTATATGAGATTTTGAAAACAAGGATCATACCATCCGTATGTATAAGGTAATATGTTGATAGCAAATAGCACACCCGTGAGTGTATAGTAAGATGGTAACACGCAGAAAG